CAGCCAAACCCCATCGGAGGCTCCCGGAGTCGGACTGAACCCCACACTGAAGCCCGGTTGGAGATTCCCGGAGCTCGGACTAATCCCGGCAGCAAAAGCCCGTCGGAGAGTTTTTAAAACAGGGCTCAAACCGGCAGCAAAGCCCCTTTGGAAGCTCCTGGAGCCTGGACTGATCGCGGCAGCAAAAGCCCCGTCGGAAGCTCCTCTGGAGCTGGGCTTGAACCCAACAGCGAAGCCCAGTCGCAGAGTTTTAAAGTCGGACTGATCCCGAGAGCAAAGCCCAGTCGGAGGTTCCTGGAGTTGGGCTGAACCCAACAGCAAAAGCCGGTCAGAGACTTCTAAAGCCGGGCTGAACCCCAAAGCCAAGCCCCATCGGAGGATCCCGGAGCCCGGCTGATCCCAACAGCAAAGCCCGGTTGGAGACTCCTGGAGTCTGGACTGATCCCGCAGCAAAGCCCCGTCGGAGGCTGCTGGAGCTGGGCTGAACCCGACAGGAAAACCCGGTCGGGGAGTTTTAAAACCGGGCTGAACCCCCAAAGCCAAGCCCCATCGGAGAATCCCGGAGCCCAGACTGTTCCCGGCAGCAAAAACCCATCGGAGAATTCTAAAACCGGGCTCAACCCGGTAGCAAAGCCCCGTCGGAAGCTCCTGGAGCTGGGCTGAACCCAACAGCAAAGCCCGGTTGGAAGCTCTGGGAGCTCAGCCCCATCCCCACAGACAGAACCCCCAGAACCCATCAGAGAAGACTTCCCAAACCTTCCAGAACTCCCCAACCCTCGGTGAACAGCAGTGCCCGGGGGATCACCCCCCGGTTTCTCCATGGACTGAGATGGCCTCGGAGTTGGCCATGAGCGCAGAGTTGCCCACCAGTCCCCTCGCCATCGAATACGTCAACGATTTCGACTTGATGAAGTTCGAAGTGAAGAAGGAACCGGCGGAGGCCGAGAGGTTGTGCCACCGTCTACCTGCTGGTTCCCTCTCTTCCACCCCGCTCAGTACTCCCTGCTCCTCCGTGCCTTCCTCACCCAGTTTCTGCGCTCCTAGTCCTGGTGGTCAACCAGCCCCTGGTCCCCCAACTACCACCGCCGCCTCCCTGGGCTCCAAACCACAGCTGGAGGAGCTGTATTGGATGTCGGGTTATCAACATCACCTCAATCCTGAAGCTCTCAACCTGACACCGGAGGACGCGGTGGAAGCGTTGATCGGTGCTCCTCACCATCATCATCATCACCATCAAGGTTACGAGCCTTTCCGACCTCAACCCTTTGGTGGTGAGGAGCTACCACCTACCGCCCATCATCATCCCGGTCATCACCATCATCATCACCATCACCTTCGCTTGGAGGACCGCTTCTCCGATGATCAGTTGGTGAGTATGTCGGTACGGGAGCTGAACCGGCAGCTGCGGGGCTTCAGCAAGGAGGAGGTGATCCGCCTCAAGCAGAAGAGGAGGACCTTGAAGAACAGGGGCTATGCCCAGTCCTGCAGGTATAAACGTGTCCAGCAGAAACATCACCTGAGAGGAGGACCTTGAAGAACCGAGGCTACGCTCAATCCTGCCGTTACAAGCGGGTCCAACAACGACACATCTTGGAGAATGAGAAATGTCAACTCCAAAGTCAGGTGGAGCAACTTAAGCAGGAGGTGACCCGCTTGGCCAAGGAAAGGGATCTGTACAAAGAAAAATATGAGAAGTTAGCTGGTCGGGGTTTCCCAAGAGAGCCTTCTCCATCTGCTGCCCCCAAACCCACCGCTGACTTCTTCATGTGAGCCCTGGGGTGTGTTTTGAGGTGGGGAGGGGGTCCCCCCTTTTTTTTTTCCCTCCTCTTATGGGGAGAGCAAATCCTCTGCTTGTATAAAAAAAACCCCAAACAACCCAAAATATTATTAATTTTTGGTTTTTTCCCCCTTTTTTCCCCCTGAAATTTTGGAGAGGGGCAAGTTGACCCTCACCCTACCTGGAGTGGGGGGGTCCCGTTGAAAAGGGGGGGTGGTGGACCTGCATGCGGGACGTGTAGGGCGCGACTCCCCACCCCTCCCGGGAGCATCAGCGCCATCCAGGTGGCTTCTCCTTCCTTTTATCCTGCTTATTTTACCTTTTATTTTAATTATTTTAATTTTTTTTTCCCTTTTTGAGGGGTCTCCA